ACCACACCTTCTGTGAAGCCTGAACCTAGAGATGGGGCCCACCTTCAAAATTTATCCTTCTTTGGATACTCTCTCTTAGCCTTTGGGTACTCTTCAGAGTTCTATCTTATAGTTACTCTTTTACCATTGTTTAATATTTCTTTATACTCCATCTTGGTCCAGAACTGGAAGTAAAATATATCCTTTAATAGCCACATTAAATATTTACATTAACTATAATGATGGATCAGGATTTATGTGTATCCTGTTATGGTAATTACTTTTTGAGCAAATTAGAGGGAAATTGCATATTACTCCTGATAATGTTTCACTTAGTCATAGGGCCACAGTTGGCAAAGGAGGATGGGAAATTTGGTACCTAGCTGGGTAGCCAATCACCCAGGAAAAAAAAATGAGAATTTTGGCACTGTGCCAAAATTATGGTACGTCAATAAAAGAATATATAGCTATAAGAATATACCACATAAAAATGAGGAAACTTTTCATGTATGACAGGATTTCTGGGACAGAATATATTTTCCAAAAATGTCCACTAAAATGTATCCCATCCTATATACTCTATTTACTATGTGAGACTTGCCCATCAAGACGTAACTGCTAAACCAATAGAGAATGGCAGAAATGAGATTATGTGACTTCCAAGGCTAGGTATGGAAGCATCTTTATGGCATGTTGTATTTTTCAAACATGGCCACAATATATCCTATCCTATACGTTCTTCTTACACTGTGACACTTCTTTCATTGAGCTGTAACAGAACCAATAGAGTACAACACAAGTGATGTCATGTCACTTCTGAGCCTAGATCATAAAAATTGCATGCACTTCCACCTTGTTGTTTGGGACAGACTCTTGGAACCCAAGTCACCATGCTCAGCAGCCACATAGAGTCATCACATGTAGGTATTCTGGCTGACCACGCTATCTGAGGTCCAGTTGACAGCCAGAATCAACTGCCAGACACGTGAGCAAGTGAGTCTTCAGATGATTCCAGCCTTCAGCCATCAAGTGATCCCTAGCTTTCAAGCCACCCCATGAGGCTGTGTGGATCAGAGCTGAGCTGTTGCTGCCAAACCCTGCCCAAATTTTTGTAGATGTGAGCTAAAAAAATTATTATTGTATTTTCAGCCAAGTTTGGGGCAGTTGTTATGCAGCAATAGAAACTGGAACAATTGCCAAAATATGTAAGTGAAAAAGCAAGGCACATTTTAAAAACAGAATATACAATTTAGATATCTTTAAAAAGCAAAGAGAAAAAGAGACAACTACATTCTAGGTATGTATATATATATATATATATATATATTTTTTTATTTTTTTCATAACATGTAGTTTCCTATATATCTTTGGAAAAATCACATAAATGGGTCATTTCCTGATGGATTTGTACCATAGCCTGAGAACTGTTTGGGAGAGTTGAATCATAGGCTGTTGCAGGCTAGGACTGGGTTTTATTAGCAGTACATTTCCCTCAACACTCAATAGGCTTTCAAACTATTTATTTGCTACTGTTTAATTACAATGCCAAAGATCTGGTGTAAATATAGTTTTACGCCTGATGATTCCTTTGCTCACTGGCCCCTTTGCTCTTTCATTTTTCTAGCCCTCTCATGTTCCCAGGCAATCATCCTGTACATTAAATATCTCACTTTAGTCACTATTTCGTATCTCTTTTCTTTTAAACCCCAAACTTCTCATCTTCCATACTTTCAGCTAACCCTACTTACCATTTCATGAAAGCACTGAAGGAATCAGAACACTTCCCAAGACTTCTTCCATCTCATGTACTCACTTCCCAGCACCTGCACCCCATATTCTGCCATTCTACTGCCAGGAATAACCTTCCCATGATATTACCTAAAGCTAATCCCTCCATCCACTAAATCTTACCTCCTCTTACCTACATAAGGTCATTGCTTCAGTAACTCTCACTTCTTCGTCCTGAATCATTTTCTTCCTCTACTGAATTACTCCAATCAGCATACAGAATTGCTATTACTTCTCCTCTCCTGAAAACAAACAAAAACACTCCTATTCCTATTGCCATGCTAATTATTAACCTATTTCTTTGTCTTTTGTAGCAAAATGCCTCCAAGCAGTTGCTCTATACTCATTGTCTCCAATTTCTCTTATCAGGCTTTTACTTCAATCACTCAAAACAAACAAACACACAAATACCCCTGCTGTTCTCAAGGTCAACAACATCAATATTGCTAAATCCAATAGCCAACTCTCAGGCTTTGTATTATGTAACTGGCCACCGGTATCTGATACCATTGATCTTCCTTCCTTTTACTCACTTTTATTTGGCTTCTGTAATGCCACACTATCTTGGTTTTCTTTTCATCTCACTGGTCGTCCTTAGCATAGTTTGCTGGTCTGTCCTTTTGTCCTCAAACTCAGTGGTGGAATGCACAGTGGATCAGTCTTTGCTGTCCTTCTTTTCTCTATCTACACTCAGGTCCTTAATGATCTTATCCTGCCTCATGACTTTAAATAAGTGTAGGCAATAACTACCAAATTAATATACTCTCTAGAATAGTACAAGCTAGAACATCCATGTGCCTACTCAATATTGTCATTTCGTGTCTAAAAGACATTTCAAACTCAACATGTTAAAAACTGAACTCCCAATCTTCCAACACAAACCTGATGGAACAGTAGCTTTCCCCATCTCAGCTGATGGGAACACCATCTTTCTAGTTGCTTGGAACCAAAACCTTTGAGTCAAAATCATCCTGGACTTTTCTCTTTCTCTCACACCTGACATCTAACGCCTAAATAAATCTTGCTTGCTCCATCACATTTACATATATCTAGAATCCAACCACTTCTCACCATTGTTACCACCCTGGTCTGAGCCACTATCATCTATCATCTGAATTAATGCCATAGCCTCTTATCCACTTAGGGTTTTTTTGTTTTCACAAAAAACAGCAGCATGTCAGATCGTGTCCTCTGCTCAGAACTGTCCAATGGCTCCCCATTTCCCTCAGAATAAAATCCAAAATGCTTACAATGACTCACAAGGCCTTACAAGATATGGCCCTGCTCTCTCTCTGACCTCCTCTATCAATCATCCCCTTGCACAAACCTCTACAATAGCTTCTCTGATGTTCCTCAAATACACCAGCATAGTCCCATAGTAGGACTTCTGCTCTAGTCTCTTCCTGTCTGGAGTACCCTTCCCTTGGATAACCACTGACTTACTCCTTCAAATCGTGACTCAAATCTTTCCTTCTCCATGGTTTAGTCTATTCTATTTCATTGCTCATTCTATTTCATACAGCAACCTAAACTGTCATATCCCTTGTGACTCCTTTTGAATGACCTTTTCCCCCATAACACTTATATCCTAACATACTCTACAATTTATTGTTCTTCTATCTCCTCCTGCTAGAATTGCTCAGATATGTCCCAAACACCTAAGATAGTGGCTGGAATTATAGTAAGTACTTCATAAATACAACTAATTTTAGAACAATAGGCTCAGGTGGGGAAAGCATTTTAAACTCATTTTTGCTAGCAGACTCACTGCCTTTGCATGGATGGGGCAATGGTTTCATTTTTTTGTTAAGACTGCCACTATAAGTGGCTTCAGTTAAGGGTCTAGAATCAGTTTGGAATTTTGAACCCCACAAGTTTCAAAATTCTGAATTTACTGTCAACCTAGATTGAGCACCTGCATGCACACATAGTATCTCTCTCTTTTTTTGCTGAGGAAGATTCGGCCCGAGCTAACATCTCTGCCAATCTTCCTCTATTTTGTATGTGGGTCACCACCACAGCATGGCTGCCAATGAGTGGTGTAGGTCTGTGTCTGGAACGAAACCTGGACCACCAAAGTGGAGTGCGCCAAACTTAACCACTAGGCCACATGGCCAGCCCCAGTATTTAACAAAGCAATATCACTTTCAGTCTCTGCTAGTGGCTTCTGCAGTTAACACTACACTAAATTCATCTCTTTCACAGGACATTACCGAAAGCAGCAAGAAACATCCAACACACACATTCTGAATCACTCCTACCATTTACCCTAACATTACAGCTTTGACACAAGATCTGCCTTGTAAGATAGAGTAGAAGGGAGTCTGACCAAATGTCCCATCTATAAAAACAAGATCTTCAGTTTTCTAGCCTGAAGTGGGTCTATCCTCATTCTTCATGGCCCTAAGTCAGTCCACATTTGAAATTTCTTTAACCCACAGCACTTCACTTCCAGGTACAAAATTTTATATCCTTAATCATTTTTAGGCTCATTAACAGAAAACAACAGCATCAACAAATAAGAAATTTATTTAAATTTTATATAAAGAAATACAAGAGGCAGGTAGACCAGAGTTGGTATGGCTGTTCCATGAAATCAGCACAGATGTAGACCCGTTCTGTACTTTTGCTCCATCATCCTTAATACTCAGATACCATTCTCAAAGTCCCCGTAAAATTGTCAGGGCTGCAGATTAAATGTTCACATTGTAGGCAGGGAAACAAAGAAGTGCAGAGAGAAAAAAAGGATTTCTTAGATGTTCTACTCATACAAATACCACTTCCATCTTGTTGACCTGTGAGGGAGGCTGAATGTTTTCAGCCAAGAATTCTGTGAGAAAGGGAAAAAATGAGGCCGGCCCCATGGCCGAGTGGTTAAGTTCAGATGCTACGCTTCGGCTGCCCAGGGTTTCACTGGTTCGGATCCTGGGCGCGAACATGGCACTCATCAAGCCATGCTGAGGTAGCATCCCACATGCCACAACTACAAGGACCCACAACTAAAAATACACAACTATGTACCAGGGGGCTTTGGGCAGAAAAAGGAAAGATAAAAACCTTAAAAAAAAAAAAAAAGGGAAAATGGATATTGTGTAGGGAAATAGCAGTCTCTGACACAGACTTCCATCATTTTTCATTGCAAAATAGTCTGTAATGTCAGTTTTTAATTTTAATTCAAAAGCTGTACATTCAAGTTTTAAAAAATTTCCTAGTAGATTTATTTTGGCTATTGATTTTTTTCGTTGTTTTCGTTGAGATGGTGGAAAATACTAGTTTTTGGACTATCTTACAATTCACTTCACATCCCTTCAACAACAATCCACTGATTAAATCTACAGTTGTGTTTTTTTTTTTTTTTACAGTACTAATTGCCTCTTAAAGCATATGGGATGAGATCTGAATAGAGCTTTCTCACATTCATTACAGCATACAATACCCCCTACTCAAATAATCGGGGCTAAGTGTTAATGAAAGATTTCTCGATATTCATTATATTCATAAGTGTCCTCCTCTCATGCAAATTCTCTAAAATAACACTACTAATAATGATAGCTAATATATGTGATATGCTATGTTCAAGGCACTGTTCTAAGAGCTTTACATGTAATAACTCACATAATACTTCCAAGAATCTTATAAGGAAGGTATTATTCTTGAGTCTATCTTACAAATTATTAAACCAAAGCAGAGGTTAATTACCATGATAAATGTCACAAAGGAAAGCAACTGGTAGAGTCAAGATAATGTTGAAAAAGACACATGGTACAGCTGAAGGCCTTCCTATATTTACTACATTAACAGGATTATTCTTTACTATAATGTGCTAAAGTTTAACAGGTTCCAGTAATGAAAGGTTTTTCTACATGGATTACATTAACATTATCTTTTCCCCATATAAATTCACTGATGCTGAACTTTGTGAGGCAAATGTGCTCCCATATTCACATTTTAAGAATTCTTTGATAATAATGGATTAATGACCAGAGAAAGCTTTCTATATTAATCACAAAGAATCAGGTAATTCATATATAAACTTGTGAGCCATGACTGAAGTCTATCCCACATTCCTTATATTCAAAAGATTTCTCACTGATATGAATTCTCTTATGTTGTGTTAGTTGTGAACCACGAGTAAAGGCTTTCCCACATTCCTTACATTGGTATGGTTTCTCACCAGTATGAATTCTTTGATGTCGAGAAAGATGTGAGCTCTGAGTAAAGGCTTTTCTACATTCTTTGCATTCATAGGGTTTCTCACCAGTATGGATTCTCTGATGTAGAGTAAGTTGGGAGCCATGACTAAAGGCCTTTCCACATTCCTTGCATTCATAGGGTTTTTCTCCAGTGTGAATTCGCTGATGTTGAGTAAGTTGTGAACCACGAATAAAGGCCTTCCCACATTCCTTACACTGATATGGTTTCTCACCTGTATGAATTCTCTGATGCTGTATAAGTAGTAAGCCACGAGCAAAGGCCTTCCCACATTCATTACATACATACGGTTTCTCACCAGTATGAAGTCTCTGATGTTGAGAAAGATGTGAACTCTGAGTAAAGGCCATTCTACATTCTTTACATTCATAGGGTTTCTCACCAGTATGGATTCTCTGATGTTGAGTAAGCTGTGAGCCACGAATAAAAGACTTCCCACATTCCTTACATTCATAGGGTTTCTCACCAGTGTGAATTCTCTCATGTTGAGTAAGTTCTGAGCCACGACTAAAGGTCTTCCCACATTCTTTACATTCATAGGGTTTTTCACCAGTATGAATCCTCTGATGCCGAGTAAGGAGTGAACCACGATTAAAGGCCTTTCCACATTCCTTACATTGATAGGGTTTCTCACCAGTATGAATTCTCTGATGCTGAGTAAGTTGTGAACCATGACTAAAAGTCTTTCCACATTCCTTACATTCATAGGGCTTCTCATTGGTATGAATTCTCTGGTGTTGAGTAAGTTGTGAGCCGCGAATAAAGGCCTTCCCACATTCCTCACATTTATAGGGTTTTTCACCAGTGTGAATCCTCTGATGTTGCATAAGTAATGAGCCACGAATAAAGGCCTTTCCACATTCCTTACATTCATATGGCTTTTCCCCATTATGAATTTTCTGATGTTGAGAAAGCTGTGAGCCACAAATAAAAGCTTTCCCACATTCCTTACATTCATAGGGTTTTTCACCAGTATGAATTCTCTTATGCAGAATAAGTTGTGAGAGCTGAGTAAAGACTTTCCTACATTCTTTACATTCGTAGAGTTTCTCACCAGTATGAAGTCTCTGATGCAGAGTAAGTTGTGAGTTCTGAGTAAAGGCCTTCCCACATTCTTTACATTCATAAGGTTTCTCACCAGTATGGACTTTTTGATGTCGGGTAAGTTGTGAACTACGAATAAAGGCTTTTCCACATTCTTCACATTTATATGGTTTTTCACCTGTATGAATTCTATGATGTAAAATAAGTTGTGAGCTCTGAGTAAAGGCCTTCCCACATTCCTTGCATGCATAGGGTTTCTCACCAGTATGAAGTCTCTGATGAAGACTGAGCTGTGAATCACGACTAAAAGCTTTCCCACATTGCTTACATTCATAGGGTTTTTCACCAGTATGAATACTCTGATGTTGAGTTAGGTGTGAGGCTCGTCTAAAGGCCTTCCCACATTCCTTACATTTATAAGGTTTCTCAGGGGAATGACATCTGGGATGTTGAGTTAAGTAAGTATGCTGGCTGAAAATGGACATTTTTTCATATATGATCATCCCTTGCCTGAAATATTCCTCCTGACTTTCTTGTTGCTTTTCCAATGTGCCTTTGACTTCTAAATAATCTCTGGAACTGGACTCCTCAAGATCCCAGTTTTCAAGCCTAGCACTCATTTCCCATTGGGATAATTCTGTTTCATAAGTGTCCTTTTTTGGAGATAATTTCTTATTTGCACTCCTTGAAGGCAAGTCTGAAAGATAAAAAATGTCTGTTGTCATTTCAGAAGGAGAATTTCCACAGTAGATCAGACTATATATGAAAATATATACATGGAAGTAATACCCATAAGAAATACCTGGTTTACATCCATTTTAAAAAATTTTTCAAATACTGTTTATGATGACCTATAGTAATACTTACTTACCTTTCACGTCACAACCTTATACATATATAGTTTCCGAAAACAACACCTACCCTGTTTTCTATTCTACACTATTCTAGTCTCCGCTTTCTCCCCTCCTCCCTTTCTCATCCACACATACACCTACACATTCAAAACCCACTAAACCCAGATTTCATGCTGCAGTAATGTGTTGCTACCTAGAGTTTGAAAAAATATTAGCTTAGAATGATCTCATATATTAACATGTAAAAAAGAGCAGCTCAGAGATCAGAGAATAATAAAACCTCACTGAGAAGATAAGGGAAGAGATCAAGGAAACTTTTTAAGTCAGTGGTTCTCAAACTGTGGTGGGGATCAAAATCACCTGGGGACCCTGTTAAAATTAAAGATGTCCAGATTACCACACCAGACTAACTAAATCTGAATCAAGTGAATCAGAAAAAGAGCATGGAGATCTCTAGTTTTAATACTTCCCACCAACTGATTCAGATTGTGATTTGCTATTTCTGCTTAAAACTTTTAAGTAACTTTCTAGTTAAACTTAGAGTAAAATCCAATGCCTTCCATGACTTTGACAAAGCCCTCCATGGTCTGGTCCCTGCTTCTGTATCTGATTTCCTCATGAGCCTTCTCATCTTTGCTCACTATTTGCCAAACATACTAGATTCTTTTTAGCTCTGAAAAATTCACAAAGCCAATCTCAACTTAGAACTAACTAGAGCCTGTTCCATGTCTTTGGATTGCTCTGTATGAGCTCCCCTACACTGACTGACTCTTTCTCATCCTTCAGGTCTCAATTTAAATACCAGTTCCTGAACCTTAAAAGTCCATTTCCTGTAACAGAAGGCTAGGTAATCTAAACCAACCTTCCTGATAAGAGCAATTTTACAAATTGGACAAAATATAAAAAGGCTCCTGACTGAAGGCACTGGAGAGTTAATGTTGGAATAAACAGTTGGTGGGCTAAAAGTTAAAAAATATGAAAACTTAGAGAAATAAGCCCAACATTTGGGGCCACTTTTCCACTTAGGGAGGTCTTAAAATTCTAGAAAAGGCAACTGAGATGTGGAGAAACTATGCAGTGTTTTGGACTATTTCATAGGGCTTGGGTGACAATAACTGGAGAACAAGGCCCAGCATAAGTTTCTCCTTACTTTGGGTTGGGAACCCTGAGGGCTACAATAAGGGAGAAACAGTAAACCAGTCTACGCAGGGTCTGAAGCCTGAATCATCTCTGAATCATCTCAAACCCAGAAATCTGAACTAAGGTAATTCAAGATTGCCGGCCATAAGCAAACCTAAATCTTCACTGGAGATGTATAACATCATCCAAGGCTTCAATTACTTTTGTAATTTTTCTTTATGATATATAGCACTCAATAAAAAATAATCAGGTGATTGAGGGTACAAGATAACGACTGAAAAACAGTAGAAAGAAGATAAAAGAAACAGACCTATAAGGGCTCAAGTCATGTATCACCACCACAGTAATGATACACAACAGTTCTGTCACTCCTAAACACTCTAGTGCTGTCCCTTTGTAGGGAACCTCTCCTCACCTTACAGCAGATGCCTGGAAACCATGGATTGGTGGTTTCCCCAACACCTCCCTAAAGATGGAAACAAAAGTATAACTATACTAAATCTAAGATAAAAATAGAAAAAGTGATCATATGCACCTCTCTAATTGCCTTGCCTTTTGCATACTCCTTCCCAGGTACTAGTGAGGATTATCTTCTTTAGTTATGCCTATCCTTTTCAACCAAGATACCAAATTGCTTTTGTTTACTTAAGTCTTTACTTCACAATCTGTTTTGTTTCTTTATGCCCTGTCTCATGTCTTATCTTATTTATTCTTCTATCCAAGGTCGATTCTATGTGTTCATCCCAGAAGAATGTCTTTATCATGTCTCAGGCACTGCTATAGGTCAAAGATGTAATGAATGGTTTCTGTAATCTTAAGGAATGTTGGGGATATTGAAGAGGAAAAAAAAGCAATTATTGAATATAAGGGAAGGCATCTGGAGTGATAAAGTTCCAGGCATTCTATTTAAAAAAGAGTATGTTGGATAGAAATAAGAAAAAGAACACAAACAAAATCTCATATACTGCTAATGGGAATCCAAAACAGCACAACCACAATGAACGAGAGTTTGGTTGTTTCTAATAAAGTTAAACATACACTTACACGATCCAGCAGTCCTATCTGTGGGTATGTACACTTTGTCCAGACAAACATCTGTACGCCAAAGTATATTATAGCAGCTTTACTCAAAATTGCCAAAAAATTGGAAACCCAGATGTCCCTCAAAAGATGAATGAATCAACAAACTTTGGTATTTCCCTACAATAGAACACTATTCAGCAATAAATAGAAACAAACTATTGCTTCATGCAATAATATGAATAAATCTTAAATATATTTTACTAAGTGAAAAAAGCCAGACCCTAAAGGCTACATAGTTTGATTCCATTTATATGATATTCTGGGAAAGGGAAAACTGTAGAGATGGAAAATAGGCCACTGGTTTTCACAGGCTGGAGAGGGGGAGGGGTTGACAACAAAGGGACAGCATGAGGGAATCTGAGGGTGTAATGGAACTGTTGTATATCATGACTGTGACAGTAGATACACTTGATATGTAAATGGTGCATCGGATTTCCTGAAGGCCACCAATAAATGTTGGATAAAACATAATAAACAACCTTCTAAAAGTATGCCAAGCTTAAAATAAAATAAAGAAGATCCACAGGGGCCACAATGAAGTGATAACCAGAAAGTAGAGAGGTAAACATGCTTTGAAGCCACAGCCACCCTTGGGACATTTGCCGTCTTCAATTGCCTACGTTTGAATCTTAACACTCTAAAAAAACCAAGAGACAAGGCCTTGGGCCAACAATATGTCAGGGATTAGAAATAAACCTCTTTACAAAACTGGAACCATCCAAAGCCTACAGTTCAGAGGGAGGGAAAAAAAAACAACTCTGGCTTCAAAGGCAAATGACAAGGAAACCTTAGTCTCACCCATTTTAAGAAATTTGACTTTTACTCTGAGGTGGGGAGCCACTGGAGAGCTGTGAGCAGCCTGACAAGATTTGACTTTCGTTTAAAAATGAATCATCCTGGTGGTTTTGTTTAAATTTTTTTAAAAAAACAACAGAGAGTCAGTGGAAAAGTAGAGAAGCTAGGTAGATGGCGGTTAGGAGCAATAAGCCACATGGCTCAGACCAGATGACTGTGGATGAAGGGGTGGAGAAAGTGAGATGTGACAAGAAATTTTCGCATACTGAGGTACATGGGGCAGCAGCTATTCTGGTTTAAACCTGATTCAGCCTGAACTAAAAAAGGCCTAACCTACGGCCTGTCAAACATACGTGGTACATCTGGTTTATCCATTAAAGTAAAGAATGCGTTAAACATTATCCCCAAGTAAAAGAATGTACTCTTTGAAGATAAGGATGCACCCTTCCTTTCCTACAATACCAGGATCAGTAATACCAGTGTTAGTACTCCTGAAGATGTTTCCTTTCCTGGACATCAGGGTCATTTTGACCGGCTCATCTGCAACTGAATATCTCTTTGAAACTCTTATGAATATGTATCCTAGGCATGTTTGATGTATATTCTTTGTTCTAAAAAGGTATAAAATTGTACTGAAAACCATGCTTCTCTGGAACGCTTTCTTCCTTTGTGGAGACTACCTTCCCAGATTACAGTCCTCAGCCTGGCTCAAGTAAAATTCACCTTCTCTCTCTTATCTATAGAATGGTTACTGGTTACTTGTGCTGACAGATGTCATTGGATTCTGGATATATTTTTTAGGTTTAATAAAGAAGATGTGATGACTGATTGGACATGTAATATGAGAGAAATCAAAGAAAACTTAAGTATTTTGGCTGAGCATCCAGAAGAATGGAAGTGCTGTTTACTGAGAACTCCTCATTGTAGTAGGAGCAGGTTTGGGAGAGAATATCAAAGAGTTTGGTTTTGAACTATTAGATATTGCAAAGAAGATGTTGAGTAGGCAGATATATGTACAAATACAGGGTTCTGGGGAGATATTTGGATTAGATATATAAATTTGGGAGTCATCAATAGATGACATTTAAAGCTATGGAATTTGATTAGATAATCCAGGAAGAGTCTTTGGATACAAAAGAGATGGGAAGAGAAGGGAAGAAAAGATAAGGGAAATTTGAGGATTGAGCCCTGGGGCACTTCAACAATTAGAAGTCAGGTAGATGAGAAGGAACCAAACAAAGGAGACTGAGAAGGAGCAGCCAATGAGCAAGGCGAAAAATTAGGAGAATGTGGAATCCCAGAGGCCAAGTGAAAAAAGTGTTTTAAGGACAAATGATCAATTATGTCAAATGCTGAGAGATAAGATAAACGGTGACGTCTAATTTAACAAAGCCTTTAATATGGAGATAATTAGTGATCTTTTTGGTGGAGTAATGGGGAAAAGTTTTGATTGAAGCAGATTTAAGAGCATGAGAAAAGAGCTGGAGCTAGGGAGCATGGAAAATTCTTTTGAGAAATTTTGTTGTAAAAAGTAGCAGAGAAATGAGGCCGTATCAAGAGGAAAATAATGTGTGTCAAGAGATTTGTCTGTTTTA